ACTCTTCCCATGTGATGTTGGTGGACGACTGGGAGGCAAACCTGCCTGTGGTGAGTGGAGCGATTCCAGTCAGAAGGCTGGACACACTGGAGCTCTACCTGACCATCCGCCGTAGTCGTGGGCTGTGTCTGTTTCTGCTGCTTTTGCCTTTCATCATCCCCCTGTGTCCCTCTGATTTCTGGTTTAATTCCCACAAGGAGATGGAACATAATGAACCGGGAGGGGAAGGTGGTGGCTGCCCCTGGAAGGACGGGAACGGTCTGTGGACCATCCCTCATGGGATGGGTACTGCAGCATGCTGCAGGGAGGAGAGAGTAGGCTGAGGCTGACGGCTGATCTTCACTGGGAGTAGATGTTGTTTGCTGGAAACAAACATCAGCTTTAACCTCCTGCTTTAAAATCAATGTCACAGTGCAGCCAAGCCCAGGCATGTCTCTCAGCTGCTGAACGGGACTTTTCTGTGGGTCTGTTGGAGTCCCCAGACTTGCATCAAGGGCTAATTTTTAAATCCAAAGCCAGCACATTTCCAGTTAGTACTTTTTTGTATAAAGCCATTAGCAAACCTTTTCCTGCTTCTTGTCCTTTACTGTCCTCACATCCAGGAGTGAAAGTGGCACAAGTCGTTATCTGGAGGTACCACAGAGAGAGATGTAACGGCAGTATAAACTGCTGCTGTCTAAATGTGAAATACGTACCAGAGCTGCCTTTGGGACAGATGGCTGAAGCATCACTAGATTCCACTTTGGCTTGATTTTAATTTAAAAGTGAAACAAAACACTGCAGTAGTGTGTGTAGGAAGGTGCATTGTTTCTGTCTGGTGTTTGCTAGTCCTGGTGTCTCCCCCTCTGTGGAGAAGGGTCAGCCGGGTCTCTCCGGAGCAGCACTCTCTTGCTGGTGACTCGTAGGGATCAGAGGGTTGCTGAGCTGTGACTGTGTTCCTCCTTGCAGTCCCACTCACGAGGCTGGCCGAGGAGTCGGACTTCGTTGTGGTGACGTGTGCTTTGACTCCGGCCACCCAGGGAATGTGCAACAAGGACTTCTTCAGCAGAATGAAGAAGACCTCCGTGTTCGTCAACACGAGCAGGTAACGGCGGCCCAGCCTCCTGCACAGCTGTGGTGGCAGCGGGGTCGGGCAGGTGAGATGTCCGGCATCCAGGCAGCACATGCAGCCTCCGCGGCTGCAGCCGCCAGGACTGTGTGCCCCGCGTGCGGCTGCTCCCTCCACCCGAGGTCTGTCGGGACCAAACCAACGGCAGGATAAACTTATCGGGGGCTACAGCCTCTGTCTCCTGCCCAGGGCCTGTCCTGCTGTGGTCAGGTGGATGGACGAGTGACCGTTGGGTGGAGGGAGGGTGAGGCTGAGAGATTGCCCGGGAGAAGGCTGCGGCTGCCAGA